TAAGCATCAAACATTTAACAAGTTCAAATTATCAATAATCAAGATTATAAAAGTCCAAACTAACAAATAAAATATAAACGAATTAGTCATTGCCAAAAGTTAATAGAATTAAGTCACTCAACCTGCTTCGGTTATTGCGTGGATGACCGCGCACTCATAGTCGAGGCGTGGGTCCTCCATGACTAAAATAATCCTGACCCCCATGTGTGTGTGTTGTGTCAACCGTGCGATCATCCTTGTGGGCACTGTAGCTCGGTTGAAGTTAATAATATCGAATTCAATTTCATACTTTGTCCAAATATGGGATGATGTCCGTGTGAAAATAGGGAAAAGTGGCACTATTTAAATGAGGAATGGTGTGGGATGATGATGTTTGTGTGCAAAGTGGGAAAAGTGGTGGTGGTACTACCTATCTTCCTCTACCGTGGCACTGTGAAGGTGAGTTTTGAGAAATTCAAATAATGAAGAAATTCCAACAAAATGGTCAGCTTTCGTTTAGGAATTATATGTATTTATAAACAAACAAACTTCACTACTTCTGAATTCAAAGTGTCCTCAGAGACAAATACAATGATGGATTAGAAGGACCAGAGTGAGACGATGAATGTTAAGAGAGAAATTGGAATTGGGAATTTGGGTTTCTCTTAACCCTTTGGGCTAGATGGCTATGGCTATTAGAGAAAAAAATTAATGAGCTAAACACGTTTAATTGGCTGTAAAAAATAATGGCTATCGGACTAACTTCCATTAATATAAAATTAGATTTATAAAAAGAAATGAAATTATAAATTATGTTTGGTTCTTGGTTCTAGTATTATAACCGAATAACAACCAGAACCAAATGGTTCTCGGTTCGAAGAAACAAAACCATTAATTTTTTTCGTAGAACCGAACCGAACCACTCGGTTTGGTTTGGTTCTGGTTTGGTTTGATCTGAATATTTTGTCCACCCCTAGCTATAATTGCTGATCTAAAGTTGGTCCTATGACTGAGGGATTGTAGTGCATAATTTTCTGCCCATGATTTTCTCCTTTAATGGCTCAAAGCATAGCTATACAACTCTTCTTCTAGCAAATGTAGTTCCAACAAGGAATGTAGAGTAACCATCCTAAGATGTGTTGTAGAGAGAGATCAATCCCTACGGAAAAAAAGTTGAGTTTAATTCCCAGGGCCACACTCATGTCCCTTTGCTATAGAACCATTCTATGAGGTGGTAGAATCTTTCACATCCACTTATGAGCAAGAGTGACCTTTCAGGTTTGGTAGTATCTTTGGTAGGCTAGGAAGTGCAAGGCTTAAAAATAGGCCTCACAATGATACCTTGTAAGCGAGAAAAGAGAGCTTTCGAGGTGATCGTTAGAGAACAAGCTAAGCGCATTCCATCTCCTCTACCACAACAGAGATGTAAGTTGGACCATCAAGGCCGACCAACAAGGATAACGCCCTTGCAAGAGGGGTCGCTAGAAATAGGGAAGATAATCCCTTGAAAGGAAGGTACACATACATCCGTCCTCACCCTATCCTCAAGTAGGATAAGGAGAAAATACCTAAACGGGATGGGGACGAAAATAATTGCCCGAACCCCATCCCTCCCAATTTCCATCCTTATATTTACACTACAATTTTTATTTGTTACACTACAATTATTTGGGATTTGTTTGCACTTTTTAAAAAAATTTGGGAGTATGATTATAATAAATTCTTTGTTTTTATTTTATTTAAATAGGAGGGTAAATTTGTTGTTTCACAACTTTTTATTGAAAAATTGGGTGAAAATGATGATTTCTGCGTGAAAGATAAAAATAATGGTGAAAATGCTAAAAACAAAAAAAGAAACCAGGGATGTTTTGTATAATAATCCTTTTGCCATATCAGTCAAACGGTGCGTGAAACATGGCTCTATTCAATGTTTTGTTGGCATCATATATATTTTCTTTTACACAGCAACAAAAAGCAAATTTTTCCTCTTTCGAAATTAATTATTATTACAATCTAGCACATTTTGCAGAAATCACACAGAGAGAAAGCACTGCTCCATTGACGGACATACAAGTTTGAATTAATTTCTTTCTTAAAATTTGCCTTTCTTTGACAATTTCCCCCCCCCCCCCGCCCCCCCCAAAACCAAAAAAAAAAAAAGAGAAAAGAAAGTCTTCAAAGAGCTGCTGTTTCCAGAATTTATTATAAATCTCATTGCATTTTATTTCAGGGGGAATTATTCATGCAATGTTTAATCCTTTCCGTTCTGCGAGTTTGAAGAAAACTACGTAGGAAATCTGATAATTATTTTGAAAAAAAAAAAATTCTGGGTTTGGTGCATGTTCTTATTCAAGGTGGCGAATCAAGGGGGTAGCGGTGAGTTTGCCAGGTTTCCGGCACCGGATGATACAGAAACTACAACAACCACCACTTCAGTCACATCCACCGTCGCAGCCACTCCTCATGTTCCGTACTACCAAATGCAACAACAAGAACGATCGGATTATCTATTTTCCGGGCTGCAGCTGCCACCGCCGCATCCGCCGCTAATTTTTTCCGAGTATGGTCAGTCCAGAGAGAGGTCAGTGATGGTGACGGCGTTGTCGCATGTCATATCAGGGCGGAGCTACGGAGGAGACTCTGGAAATATTTATTCATCTAATTTTCCTCCATTTGCTGGCCATAAGAGAAGACGTGATGCAGAAGATATTCTTCCAGAACAATTCCACAGTGTTCATCGAGGCCTCGGAGAATCATCTTCTTCTATCAAATCTGGTTATTTACTTAATCTTATGATTAAACCTTGATTTTATTTATCATTTATATACTATTAGTGCATGTATAATTTGCATGTACAATTTATTATTTTTGCAGAGCCGAATGCAGAAGCTAGTTTCACAACACCTACAGCCACCTCCGCGGCAGAGCAAATTCCACAAACAGAACTGTTTGTGGGTTCACATGAAGAAACAGGAGAGACAAGAAGAAGATACAGAGGAGTGAGACAGAGGCCATGGGGCAAATGGGCAGCAGAAATAAGAGATCCACATAAAGCCGCCAGAGTCTGGCTTGGAACCTTCCAGACGCCGGAGGCCGCCGCTAGAGCTTACGATGAAGCCGCCCTGAGGTTCAGAGGCAATAGAGCAAAACTCAATTTCCCTGAAAATGTGACAAACTTGCCACCATCCCATTTCTCACAATCCACACAATTGGCCATTTCTGCCACCCCACAACCACCTATCGCCGTCATGCCTCCTTCACTGACGGCGGTGTTTCCTCCAGAATTCATGCAAACACAGCCTTTCCAAATCCCCGAAAACATTTCCAGGGATTATTGGGAATACTCGCAATTACTTCAAAGCAGTGGTGATTTTCCGATAAATTTGTCGGATCAAATGTTTTATACTTCTGCATCATCTTCTGGTGGACAATCAGTCAATTTCCGGCCACAAGAAAATCAAAATAACACAAGTTTTCCTGCACCATCATGGACCAGTTCTAGCCAATATCCTCCATCCTCTTCTTGATATTTATTTTTATTTTTCATTGATATTATCGTGTCCTTTGTACTCGAGTTTAGGTAATTTAGGTACTTGCCTTTAGTTTGGTATCCATACATTTCATGTATGTTATCCATCAATAAATTTCATTTGTGCAATTATACTTTTATTTCTATTTTATCATGTTCGTTCGGTTGAAAATATTGCTATGAATTATCAATTTATGTTGTTTACTTCTATCTAACTTCAAATGGAATTCTAGCCAATATCCTCCATCCTCTTCTTGATATTTATTTTTATTTTTTATTAATATTATCGTGTCCTTTGTACTCGAGTTTGGTAATTTAGGTACTTACCTTTAGTTTGGTATCCATACATTTCATGTATGTTATCCATCAATAAATTTCGTTTGTGCAATTATACTTTTATTTCTATTTTATCATGTTCGATCCGTTGAAAATATTGCTATGAATTATCAATTTATGTTGTTTACTTCTATCTAACTTCATATGGAAGGAATATAAACTAAAAGTTGAATTCGTTGTCTAGAATGGTCTGAATAGAGGGGCTTGAAGAAAGAAATGCCAAAACATTTTAATGAGCAATGGCAAACGACAAGGTAAGGTTTCGAAGAAGCAGGTTTACAGTTTCTCGACTTGTAACTTTTCCGTCTTCCTTTCGTGCTTATGTGGGGGATGCACCACTAGATTTCATACCTAAAGTTGTCAACTCGCCAACAATCCGATACTTATCACTGAAAAGGTTCGCTCCTTGATAATTAGGCGTATACATATTCCTTTTAGGAGAGTAGTTATTGTTTGATTACTGTCCCGTTTGATACACATTAATATAAAAATGAGAACGAAAAATATAACTATTACAGAGCACTATAGAAGAGATAGAAAGTCAAATATGGTGACTTGATATAATGAAAACGGTCATATTTTTCATTTTAATGGACAAATAATGAGAAACAAACAGGGGCTACGCATTCAATACAGTGATGACCTTATGAAATTTAATATATTTAGTGGTAAGCATATTAATTTTTATTGTTCTTTCTTGATACAATTGTGTGCCAATCGATTTCAAATATTTGAACGTCATTTGTGTTTCTTGTTAGAGGCCATAAATTTTATTATTATTTTTTTTTTTTTTTCCGAATTGTGAATATTTTGTTTCTAGTGGTTATGAAAATTTTTGTTGGTCAATCTAGTTAAGCTACAAGAAATGATTCAGAAAAGTGACATGAAAAATGAATGAAATGTCTTGTCATTTTCCATTGATTTCATTGACCATTTTTTTAGCCCATATACAAGCAACATTTCCTCGGGGAAGGAAGAATTGATTAGTGATAAACTCTATGGGAGTAAAAATATATTGATAAGCTTGAAAGCATCTCAGTATTTTATGGACTTCTATATATGTGGTAAACAAATTGAAAAATTTGCATTCTAATTAATATACAATTAAGTCTAAAATTGATCTTCAATGGATTGTCTTTTATATCCTAAAATAAACATAAAAAAATTGAGCAGAAGTGTGAGGAAACTCAATGCTATAACTGAGCTTTTGAATATAGATGAAACTCTAGACAAT